TCGTTGGGTTCTATCACTACAGAATCATTGCTAGGACATTGTAGAGGCCAATAGTCCTGACCTTAAAGAGTACAATTCCTTTCTCCCAACCTCCAGATTCCTCCTCCTCTCCCACTTGGCCCCATTCCCTACTCTTGCTGCTATTTGCCTCCTGAAATAAATCATCCCCTCCTCAAAGCCAATTTCCTTTCTAGAATATTTTCTAGTTTTGAGGATAAAGACTTTCCAGAGAACATCTTGAAGTGAATTATAGCTCAGAAGAAGTCCCAATCCTTCTCCCCAACCCCTTCTCCCCATTACCCAACAAAGCTGGGCTCTCCACAGTCAGAAAGGGATGGAATCAAATTCATCTGTTTCTTCAACCATATGACAATGCCTTCAGTTCCTTAAGAGCTCCACTCCTTTCAGCAAAGGAGCAGGAGAATGCCAGGCCAGCACTGTAAGTTCATGCTGCTAACATGATTAGAAATGTTGGGATAAACAAGTTGTGGTTTTCCCTTCCTGCCTCCAGAAAGCACAGGAAGAGGACCTTTGATGTCTCCTAAGCACCCTTCCTTCTTTTTCTGCCCGTGGTCTAATAAAAAGGCATGCTTGTGTTAGGACACTTGTGTCCCATCCATGTTGTTGCTGGCAGAATATTCTTTGTGGTAACAAGAACATAAAATATCCCCTGAGAAACCTCAGATTAAGTTTATTTGACTTTTCCTCAAAAAAATTAAAAGAAGAAGAAGAAGAAGAAGAAGAAGAAGAAGAAGAAGAAGAAGAAGAAGAAGAAGAAGAAGAAGCAGCAGCATGGTGTAATCAGGATTGTTTTCCTAACTGAGTTCACTGATGCAGTTTTTGGTCAAGGAGAATATTGGCCTGGCAGCTGGTAAAGACAAACACACAAACAAACAAACAAACAAACAAAAACGCAATTGAACTTTTCCCTAGTGACCTCCCACTTTCCATTTAAAGACTTTATGATTACGAAAATCAGCAGGGTACAGTGGAAAGAATGCTGAATTTGGGACAAGAAGACCTAGGTTCAAATTCTACCTTTTTCAACTTAGTTCATGGTTGACTTTGGGAAAGTCCCTTGGCCTTCCTGTGCTGCCATTTTATTCATCTGTAAAACAGATAGATGGGTCGTACTAGAGGAGCTTGAGAATACCTTCCAGTTGGGGCAGCTCAATAGCACAATGGATAGAGCTCAGGCTTTGGAGTTAGGAGGACCTGAGTTCAAATGCGACTTCAGACCAAACATTTGACACTTATGAGCTGTGTGATCCTGGACAAGTCACTTAACTCCAATTGCCTTAAAAAAAAAAGAGAGAATACCTTCCAGCTCTAAATCTATAAGCCTAAAATAGAAGTAACTTTGGCCTTCTCCTCTTTCCCTTCATCCACTAGGGCAGAAGTTCTTAAATGAGCAAAGACCTGTGGGCAGATTTCAGGGGATCTGTGAACTTACATGGGAATCAATATGTATGTGTGTGTGTGTGTGTGTGTGTGTGTGTGTGTATGCAACATATATACTTATGTATACATACAAATACATATATATTGAAAGAAATACTAAATTTCATTTAGTGGTAAATGAAAATTAAGATTCACATGCATACACATGCATATATATTACTTATATAATATACACATGCATGTGTACAATGCACTTATATGCATATAATATATACATAAATGTACAGACATATATATATATATATACATACATATATACATATGTATATGAACAACACACACACACATTTTTTTTCACTGACCTCTAAATGAAATTTAGTATTTCCTGCAACTATGAATGTTTAAAAAATATTATTCTGAGGGGGGGGCTCCTTGGCTTTATGGGACTGCCAAAGATACCCAAGACACAAAGAAGGTCCTGCAAGCCCCGCACTAACTAGAGGATAGGGGAACTTTCTCAAGGCTGGAAACTTTCTGGGCCATATGTGCATAGTGGCTTTTCTAACTTTAGGTGAGGTTAGAACCTTTGGAAATTCTTCAAGGTCAGTGCCTGACTCCCAGTGGAAAATTGTTTTGGCTAGAAGAATAAAGGCTTGATTAGGCCTTCTTCCAGAACCACTGAATTTAGAAGAAAGTGACCAAAAACTGTAGGTTCAGACAATTTCATCCCTGATGGAGGGGGGTCACAGGAAGAGCAGCCATGGCTGAGTTCACCCTATGGATACACCAGAAGGTGTTCAATTGCTTCATGAATTTTTGTATTCAACAGCAACACTCAACATATACTAAGTATTTGGGGGTTACTTGTGAACTATCATTTCAACAGCTTGAATTCATAGCTATTCTTCATGGAACACAAATTTAGTGCTCCTTTACCTACTTCCAAATCTCTAGAGTCGAGATATTGGGACTCCCTGATCCAAGAGAAAAAGAGAAGTTTGGAGAAAACTGCTGGACATGAAATTACAAGGCTTGAGTTCAAGTCCTCCTTCTAATACCTTTTGGCTTTGTGGGAAAATAACTGCACTTCTTTGGGGCTAGGTTTACTCATCTACAAAATGGGCATAATAATACTTGCACTACCTTCCTTACAGGGGTATAATGAGGAAAGAATCCCGTAAAACAAAATGCAAAATAAAAACTCAAGGTATTTTCCCTTTCTCACCCATCTTGTGGTCCTCTCCTTCCAGTTTCAGAATAAGCTGGTCACAATGATTTAGGGTAACTAAATACTCATCACTGTTTCTTAGTAACCAGTGCAAAGATGATTTATAGGACTATAGAATTTAGAGATGGAAAGGAATACTGAACAATCAGTTTTAGGGATGTTGGGAAGAGAATTCTTGTTTGGGGACATGAAGAACTGTAGGGCTTCTGAGATCCCTTCTAATGCTTAGATTCTGGGACTTGAGAGATTACTAGTCTAATGTCCTCATTTTACAGGTGAGGAAACTGAGTCTCAGAAAGATTGAATGAAGAGTAAAATTCCACAAGTAGCATGTAAGAGAGCTGGGATTCAAACCCAATTCTCTTATTTTAAACCTAAGGCTCGCCTCACTATATCTCACTGTCTTGTCCCTTCAAGGAATCAAATTACTTGGAGCATGGGCTATGCAAATAGTAAAGCAAGTCAGGAATGACTCCACCTGAGCCAAGCAGTGAAGCAATAGAGGATGACTATCATTTAAATCCAGAAGCTGTAGACATGATCACTCAACCTCTCATTTCCCGGCACTCAGCTGGAGTCACTCCTTTTCCAAGAAAATTCTGCCCCAGCTTAGTTCGTTCTTTTGATCAAGACTCAATCAGTTTCTTGTTCAACAAAAATGACAGGCTGCCTGAAAAGGGAAACAAAATTTGGGGTTTACCGATACTGCTTGGTATTAGACATCAGAAGAAAATGAGCTCTTTCTGCAGAATGTGCGCAGTGTGATGTTCTAGGCCCAAGTTTATCATTTAAAGAAGAGAAGAAAGAAAAAGGGGGAAAACACTCTTGTTTACAGTTTGGGAAAATGAAGAACTGGTTAAATCCTCCATTTTGAGACTGTTTCAAATTAAATTCCTGTTATTTGTTATTTTGGGGTGAGGTAGATATTGGGAGTTATTGACCACAAATTGTTGACCATGGCTAGTTTGAAGACCAAATACTGATGTATGTTTCTGACAATGAACATCATCAGTCAATACAAAGTATTAAGCACCTACTATATGCCATAAACATATATCCGGTGGGAAATCGAGAAGGAGGACCTATCTTGCAGTCCAAATTCATCCCTCTTCTTATCTAGCTTTTTATGCATTTGGACATGTACCCCTAAATCTCTTGTGTGAAGAAAAAATACCTTTCCTGAGTGTTTTATTCCTATCTTCTCTTCCTCTTACCTTTCTCCTCACATGCCTACTCATCATATCCATGTCCTCATGCTCTCTTGTGGGACACAGAACTGGAAGAAACCTTTGAGATCATCCATTCCAACACTCTCATTTTCCAAAGGATGAAAATGAAGTCCAGATTAGGAGAAAAAAACTTGAGAAGGGAGAGAATTTTTGTGAGAGGTTAAACACAAAGCATAAAAGGGGAATACACACAGCCAGAACACTCACGTCAATGGGTATGCTTTCAGAGAATATGTATGTCCAGAAAAGATACAACCATGTATAAGAACCACATGTGCAGCATAGGCATTGGGGGAATATTCATGACTAGGGTGCCCAGGTAAATGGCCACACTCTTGGGAACATATTTGACTAGGAAATAAACATGAAGGAACAGCATCTACACTTTCCATGTTGCTAAGCTGCTAGTGTATCTGGCAATGTCATCATCCCATTGCCGTTGTTGTTGTTGTTTTCTGGGCCCGTTCCCCATGAGGCATTGCTGTCTGCTGTTCTTCCCTAAGTGCTGCTCTCTGCTCTGGTATTCAACTATGTTTTAGGGCAACAAATATACTGTCCGCCATCTGCTGGGGAATGCTATGGTTAGTAAGTCAGCCTCCTACAAGGGAGAGTCCCAGCTCTGTCTGACAGCTCTATCAACCTTATATTGGGCCTCAGCTATAGTCTTTAGCTCAAGTGCTATTTTCAGGGTCATAGGTTACCCTGTCCACTATCTACTATGTGTCCTGAGCTTAGTAAGCTTTGCCCCTCTTGGGAAGGGGACAGCTCTTCCAGACACTAGCTAGAAACCATTTACCCTTAACTAGGCTACATATAAGATAACATGTCTAGGATGATATTACATATCTTCTTTGACTCTCTGCTAAAATTTCTTCTCAATTTTTCTCAATTTCACTTTCACATTATTTATGGTGAGAAATTTGATTAAGTTTTTGGTTCTTGATCACACCCCCAAAACTATAGCAAGTTGCCAAGGCTCTACTTCCTCAAATGGATAAGCAACTGAGTGACTCTGTGATGAGCAAACTACTTTTAAACCCTCTCCATCATACTCTCCTGCTCTGCAGATCACAATGGACTGAAAGGTCATAGAAGAAGGGCTTGGTCACTTTTGTCCTACTTCTCCCCAACAACAAATCATATGCAGGTCTCTCTTCAAACAGAATCTTTAAGTGAATATGTCTCACCATCTCCTTTAAGGATGGAGGAAGAAACATGGGATGTTAAGAGGCCTCGTAGGATTGGAGATTGAACCAATAGCCTATTTCTTGTGGACTCCACTTTTAATAAGGTAATAATTCTAATCATGTAATAATTTGTCTCATGTAATATTTTCATAAAAAACCTAGGGAAAGGACACAGAGAAATCTCCATAAATGCAAATGACAAGATACTCGGAGGTGTGGAAATGTCAAGCCAGCAGTCTACAGGGAATCTTACGAAGCTTTGGAAGTAGCTGAAAAGTTGCTGTTATGTTTTGATATGGCAGCTCACTAACTCATTAGGTAACCATAAATAAGAGGAAAGACACTGATATCTCAGTTATAGCTCAGGAGAAGTCCTCAGGAATCAGTTCACATTGATGCCTGGGTTGGGTCTGTTTTGCTAAAAGAACATATTAGGCCAAAGACCAAAGAAATGTGAAGCGTCCCCAGGAAAAAGAGGAGAAACCAAATTGCAATCCTCTTGCATATGCGACTTATCTCAGAGTTCTGAGAACAGGCATGGTCACTGTACGTCATGATGCATCCCATTTTAGAGTCAAACGCAGATCTTCTGACTCAGTTTGGTGCTCCCTCTACTAGTCATTATGCTTCCATTATTTCCAGTGGCATGTCACAACTACTGGGGCTGTACACAAAGTTGCAAAGTATCAACACTTCTTATGTAAAAACTTCTTTGTCCTCCTAATTGATCTCCCTCCCTTAAGCCTCTTACCTCTATTCATCATTCTTCACACTACTACTTATGTAATTTTTCTTAAAAACTGATCTAATAATGTGACTCCCCTACTCAACCAGCACTGATGCCTTCCTATTGCCTCTAGGATAAAATTTAAAGTCTTCTATTTAGCTTTTAAAGACCTATACAACTTGGTCCCAACCTATCTTTCTACACCTTATTCCTTCTCTACGCTCTGCTATCCAGCCAAACTGGTCTTCTCTCTGTTACTTACGTGTGATACTCCAGTTTTCCACCTCCATGCTTTTGCATTGGTGACTCCTTATTCTAGAATATCTTTCCTCCTTATCTGTGTGTCACAGATTGCCTCTTTTCCTTTAAGATAAAACTTCGGCATGAAATTTTCCTGATTCCCTCAACCACTAGCATCTTCCTTTCCAGATTTCATTGTACTTAGGGACTCTGCATATTTGAATTTATTAACTCTATATTTATATATTTTATATGTTCTTATTATTTCTCCCATTAGAATGTAAGTCTAAAGAAATAGCAAGTGGTACATAATAGAATTTGCAGTTTCATGTGCAGTCATCTTTTTTATTATACTATGTTACTATGTTTATTATACTGTTTAATATACTATGTTACACTTGTATTATTCCCTAAATTAAGAATAAAATAAATAAAAATTAAAAAGAATGTAAGTCTTTTGAGAGCAGTGATTGTTTCATTCTTTGTACTTATGAACATAGTACCTAGTACATTAGTCACTTAATAAAAACTTATTCATTCATTGACTACTTTTTTTCTCTCCCCTTGTTCCCTTATGCCTGCATGTTGCCATCTGTTCATCTCAAGATGCTTTTCCCAAACCAATATAAAATTGCTCCCATCTGAAAGAGACCTATTTGTACAAAAATATTTATAGCAGCTTTTTGTGTGGTGGCTAATAATTGGAAACTTAAGAGATGCCCATCAATTAGGGAATCGCTAAATAAGCTGTGGTATGTGATTGTAGTGGAATATTATCATACTATAAGAAATGACAAGCAGGATGATTTCAGAAAAACCTGGAAACACTTACACGAACTGATGTATAGTGAAATGAACAGAACCAGGAGAACATTTTATACAGTAACAGCAGTATTGTTCGATGAGCTGTGAATGACTTAGCTATTCTCAGCAATAAAAGGATCCAAGGCAATCCCAAAGGACTAATGATGAAGCATATCATCTGCCTCCAGAGAAAGAACTGATATCGTTTAACTATAGACTGAAACATGCTATTTTTTCACTTTCTTTTATTCTCTTTCTTTTATTTGAGTCTTCTTGTACCAAATGACTAATATGGAAATGTTTTACATGATTACACATGTATAACCTATATCTGCATACCATCTCAGGGAGGTGGAAGGGGAGACAGGGAGGGAGGGAAGAAAAGAAGGATAGAACTTGGGACATGAAACTTTTAAAAAATGTTAAAAATTGTTTTAACAAGTAATTGGGAAAATGATATATTGTATATATGTACATATACATAATACTAATATTTTATTAATTTTAATTAATTAATATTTAATATATTTAAAAAAACTGCTCCCATCTTCTATGTGTACTCCATTCTCCCCTGTCTCAGCTGAGTATTACTCTGATTATCAGTGTTAACAATTAATGGATTTAAACTTATCAGAGATATGTCATCCAACATTCTTATTAACCCAAATGAATTCCCAATTCATAGACCCATGGAAGGGAACTCAGAGAATTCTTATCTAGATTCAACTCTACCTGAGCAGAAATCTTCCTCAAACATACTTGAGGACTTTCACTTTCTCTAATGTCAATCTATTCCACTTTTGGCAAGTTTCATTGTGAGGAATTTATTCTTTACATGGAGCTAAAATTTACTTTTATGTAATGTCAGCAACCATGATTTATAGTTCTTTCTCTGGGGCAGAACAAGCCTAATTCCTCTACCATATGATGACCTTTTGAGTTCTTGAAGATAACCATCATGTCCTTCTTAAGTTTTTTTTTTCTTTCCAGGGTAAGCATCTTTAATTAGTTCAATTGATTCTTCCATAGCATGGGTCTTCTGGTTATCCTTCTCTAAGGACTGTCCAGTTTGTAAGAGTCCTTAGAACTGAAAAGTATACTCCAGATGTGGCCTTGGCAGGGCAGAATGCAGAATGCAATGGGACCACCATTTTCTTTGTTCCAGACATAATGGTATCAAGTTGTGGAGAAATGCATTGCTCGCACTTAGTCTGATGGTAGTTTTAGGAAATTATAGGCACTTCTGAAGTTTCCAACTATTACCTCCATATACTTGGGTTTACAGTTCTTGTGGAGGCATTTTATTCTATCCTTCCCTTTCACTATGGGCAAGAATGATGAACTAACCCATATGTGTTCTATCCTATAAAGTTCCTTGTCTCTATAGCACTACAGTTATATGGTGCCAGGTTTCAGGGAATTACAGTCAAATTCACTGAAGGGATATTATCTTTCATCTAGCATTCACTGGAGTTGGAAAGATGGAGTACAGGTTATTATCCAAGGTGTGTATAGGAGGTGGGATAAGGGTAGGACACAGGTGGGCTAGATTTGAACAATCTCTTACACAAATTTCAGTCATTTTTTTTTAGTTGTTTCCTGGGTCCCTTGACTAAGGAGAGGTATCCCACATGCCTTCTTACTAAGAGAAAAAAAAAAGCAGTGGGCTAAGGAATTTGCCTTCTTAACCTATTGCTTCCTAGTTCTTAACTTCTTACCATCTGCTCACAAAAGACATAGCTTTTCTTTGCAATTTGAAAATCATAAGATCAAAGAATTAGATCTGGAAGGGACCTTAGGGGTCATTGAATTCACTCCATTTATTTTACAGATAAAGATGTTGAGGCTGAAATAAGTTATGGGATTTGTCCATGATCACACAACTATCAGGTATCTAAGGCTAAATTTGAACTCACATCTTTCTGACTTTAAGCCTAATGGTCTGTCCACTGCCAGATATTATCAAACATCCCCTCAGCTAGTAGAAGGTGCAGAAGCTTGTGGCTCAGGCAACCCTATTCTACGTGGTCATTCTTGAGAGACAATAATAGTTCAACCCATAATCAATGAAAGCTTCACAAGGCCCATGAAGAGAAAATGAATATAGAAGAAAGAAACTGAAAATTATAGGAAGTCGGCAAACTGGGTACTGCTCCATCTGGATTAATAGTATACATGAGTTCAGTGGTAGAAAGGGTCATTTCATGCTCTGTATTTGTATTCTCAGTGCTTGGCACAGTGCCTGGCAAATAGGAGGCACTTAAGATATGCTTGTTAATTAGTTGGTTGATGGATTGATTGCCACTGAATATAAGCAAACTGAACTCAACAAACATTGGGAAGGCTCCTTCCCAAAGCTTCAGGGAAATATACATATGTCTGACAAAGAACTTCTTTCTCTTCTCCAATTCCTTTAACTGCAGAAAGCTAGTGTGGTCTATTAAAAAGAGCACTGGACCAGCAGGAGAAATCTAGATTCAAATGCCCAGCCTGACATTTGCTGGCTATGAAACCATGGGAAAAAATCTTATGTAATGTCACTGAAGCTCAGTTTTTTTTCTCTGTACAATGGGGATATCTAATTTCATACTATGTGTCTCATTGGGTTGGCAGGAGGAGAGTGCTTTATTAAACCAGAAAAGAGAATTATTATATTCACCTTCTTTAGCTCAACACAGAAAACAAAGCTAGGAGTTGATGCCCCAGGTTCCATCCTGAGAAGATAATCAAAAGTCAGGGTCTGCTTAACATATAAGATAAGGAGGCAGCATAGAAAGAGAGCTAGATTTGGAATTAGCAGACCTCAGTTAGAGTCATGTTTCTGCCACTTAGTACCTCTGAGACTTAGAGTAAAGCAGTTTGCCTCTCTGGGCCTCAGTTTCCTCCTTTGTGTAATGAGATGATTGGAGTAAGTGATCTCTAAAATGCTTTCTACTTCTAAATCTATGAAATAAAATAAAATTTTGTGTATAGGTCTACTAAGTCTCATTCATTTGGGTAAAGGGCTGAAGCTATTCTATTTGGGGTTATTATTTTTGTATTTTATTTTGCTTTGTTTTGCTTCCTTTAGGCCAGAGATGAGATTTTGTTGGTATAACCCTTAGCCACCATGTGTTTTCTTTTCCTTTTTTCTTTTTTTCCCCTTTTCTTTATTTTTCATTCTTTCTTTTTCTTTTTTACGTTGTTTTCTATGAGAGGTAGAGGAAAACCGGCAACAGTGGAGCTAAGACAGAAAGTAATTTCTGACTGGCCATATAAGCCACTTATGGACTTTGGGGTGAACTGGGTCAACTTCATAAGTAGAAACGTTCATTGTTTATCAAGTAGTCAAAG